CTGCCTCCTGGTGACATTAATGCTGCAGGAAGTTGTTGTTTATTGTGTGTAGCCACAGAGGTCGTTCGGCACCTAACCGAGCTTAAATACCACGTACCCCACAGAGCCAACAGGCTTATGAGGCTCAGATCAATCTACCTTTTGAGCAAAGGTCAAAGATATTTGTATTTCTCTGGGAACTTCCTGTCTGGTTGTTTTTGTATGCCGTTTAATTTCTGTCGCGATAAAACACGTTCACAAAATTTTTTTATCATTTTATTTTTTCATTCACTGCTACTCACACTGTGGAAACCTTGTGCACAGATTTAACAAATGTGGGTGAAGCAGTGAGAAGCCCAGAGCACAAAGCGCCACCAAAGCTTGCAGAGTTTCTGCTTGCTGAATGCTGGAGGGCAAACTGGCTCTTTTAGGCAACTCTGCTTCAAGGTTGAATTCAAATCAATCCGACTTTTTTCACGGCTGAAACAACAGGCCCTCTTATAATTGGTAAGAGGGCCTGTTGATAAGGGTATAATTAGTATAACTGGTATGTAATCACACAACCTCCTTGACTGACACCTTGAGGTACACAGAGTTGGCAGGTTGGCAGGTTTATTTAGATTTGAGCAAATTCAGTGTGATAATCTTACTATTAAAGCGGACCATTACCATTACCATGTTTCTTTTCACATTCATATTTTTATTTCTGGACTCTACTAGAGTAGCTTTTCATAATTCATCGCTCAAAAATAATCCTTTTCTATTTTACAAAGGGTCTTGGTGACTCCTCTCCGTTCATCCACCATCTGAAAGAAGCTTTTTAGGATGACTCGCTTCATATCAACTCCTGACAGCCAGATCTTTGTATCTGAGATGACCATATTACAGAGTCTCCCTCTCTGACATCATGTAGAACTGAGGATAGAAAACCTGACAGTTTAAAACAGTGTTTAGAGCAGCGTAAAGCCTGGCACACGGACACTAATGTCCACATGAGAAACAAAGTAAAAATACTAAACTATGTGTCACAAACCAGTCATGTGGTCTGGTTGTTATATAGCGCTTTTCTACTCTGTCCGAGCACTCAAAGCGCTTTATACAGCTAATTCATTCACCCAATCACACCAGCTTAAGTGCTAAGTATCTAACA